GCAACATGAAAAAGGAAATAAGACAATCATACAAACCAATTAAGAAGTGGCGTAAAGCTTCAGACACAATTCTTCGTCCAATCTCGAAATTAGTTCGACACGAATCGTTTGAAAAAGGAAGTGCAAGCTAAATATGAACCAGAAAACAACATTCATATACAGATCTATTGGTCCGCAAGCACTTATGAAGTGGCTTTAAGATCTGCAAAAACTATGAGGAGATCTGATAACTACCATGGACATAGGACACTTTTATGTTACATCTCCTTTATATTTCCACATGATGTTGGGCCCAATTTTTTGTGAAATTTTGCCATCTGATGAGGGCCCTGTTGGCCAATAAGTCAGCAAAAAATGAGAAAAAAATCAAGCCAATTCAACCAATCACGCCTAACTACAAACATGCAAAAGCAACTAAAAGTCTATCAAAGATAAAGGCATCATTGAATACAGACATATATAGATTTATTTCATTATAGTAGTCAAAAAATTATTAAATCATCTCTTACACTTAAAAGGGAAGTTGCTATTAAATTAATTACTACCGTTAGCCAATCAAAAGGTTCCTTCTGAATAATGAATGGATAAATTTCACCAGATTTACTGATCCCGTAAATACCTCGAGAAATCTTGAGACATATAATTCGCAGAACTTATAAAAAAATTTCTTCTTTTTTTCCCCCCAATATAATTTCTTTGGCTGTAGAATTACATTAACCCTTAATATTAATCAGATCAGCTTGCAGAATAAAAGAAAATGCTTCCAAAATGTAGATCAAAAGTTTCAAAATTCCGGTCATTTAAAGAAAAGACAACCAGCAGTTTGTACAAGGAACATAGAAAAGTGTAAAAGTTACAGCAAAACACAAAGGTCTGAGTTGAGATCTGATAATTAGAGACAGAAAAGGATCAGAAAATTACCTTCAACAACGTAACTATGTATATATATATGTAATTTTATATACACAAAATGTATGAATTCATTGTGAAGAACTCAATGTACTTTCAAGAATCCACCAAATTTGAGGGAGAATGGAAGAGAGGGACCCTTCAAAGAGGACTGGAAGATAATGGAATAATAAGCTCACAAACCCACATGCACTTACAGGCCCGTCGTTGCACAGAGAGAATTTTATATACAAATACAAATATGAATTTGGATTACTCTCTCATTTATGGCCTTGTCCTTCGCTAGCTGTCCCCTTTCTGGTTTTTATTTATTTATAGTGAAAACAGATCTTTTTCTTCAGAGGTCCCTTCCTTCTCATTTCGTCCTTCTCACTGTGTGTTGTGTGTGTGTTGTCAACTTTATATGTGTAATCAATTCAAAGTCATAGGGAAATGGGATTTTTTTATTATTATTATTTTTTTTGGGTATTTCATGTCATTTTCCTATGGTTTTTTTGTGAGATTTCTGGGTTTTCCTGGAAAAAAAAATTTATTACAAAGATTTGGATAGATTTTCCTTTCCTTACCATAAATAACTGTCCCAGATCTACAGTAAAGATATGAATCGAGGAAATGTTATGGATGTGAGAAAGTCCAGTTTGGCCTGGATTTGAAGTATAATCCTAAAGCTTTGTAGTAAATGTAAAATGTTTGGACCATCTCAATTTTGGAATAACAACAGTAAAATTAAAATATACTTTTAAAAATTCCAAGTTGATTAAAGGATTATATTTCTAGGTTTTGTTTCATCCATAGTTTTTTCGAAATTCAAAGCGAAATATTTTATTGATTTTATTCGATCATAGTCCCTACTAAAAATGAAATATCATTAATAATAAACTTAGTATAACAAGGTAGGCAAGTTTATGGGCGAGCTATTTCCCTTCTCGGAACAAAAAGTGGTATTTTTGACTTGGATGCTAATATCTCGATGACAAAATTAATACACAAAAACCCATGAAAGACGAGCCAGATTTAAGTTATGACTAAAAAAGGTAAAGAGCATTAGAGTACGTTTGGCATGACTTTTAAAAAGTCAAAAGAAGTTTTTAAGATACAAAAGTTGCTTTTGCACCTGTTTCTCTAATGTTATGAAAACATTTCCACTGATCAGATGAGATTTTAGAGACAGTTGATTCAATGTGATTTTCTTTAAAAACACTTGTGAAATGAAAAACTCATTTGAAATTAATTTTCGAACAAAAATTAAAGTTGTTATATATAAAGCAAAACTCATGTCAAACAAGACAATGCTCGACTATATGCTTCGACCTTTAAGCTCGTACGTAAAAAACATAAGGAATTGGTGGAAGTTTATTTATTGATAATCTACAATTTACCAAATTAAAAGGTTGAAGAGAAATCTCTTTTTAACAAAAAACTATGAAGTAGTTCACTATAATACATTTAGATCAAACTCGTGAAATCTAAATTTGTTGTCCCATTAACTATTCTAATTTCAACGCGATAGTAATCTCGACTATTTTCGAAATCGTGACGGTGATGGCGAAGAATATTAAATGCAAGTAAGAGAATAGGAAGCACCTCTATTAATTAAAAACGATTTTTAGATTTATTTAATAGTTAGATACACATGAACCAACTCAGATTCACGTGTTTTTTTGACTTTTGATTTATGTTCTTACATTTGACATTGTCAAACTTTGATATTTTTTTTATATTAATTTATTTTTCATGGTGTCTGTCGGTAGCCCAAATGGAGAAATCTAGGGAAATAATCGAATGAAAAATACTAATACCTATTTCGTGGGATTAAATCAGATAAAAAAAAAATCGAAAATCCCATTAAATATGTGATTAAGTTAATTATTACTTTTGTTTAGATTAAAATCTAAATTTTTATCCTTATAAAATAGTAGTTAAGTCTTTGTTTGGACTCGCTTTTTATTAAGAAGTTACTTTTCTAAATCTAACATTAATTTTAATTACAAATTTACACCTACGTAAGAAGTAAATAAATTTTGGAATGTTACACCTTATGTCTTGAGCAGCAAGTGCTACAGTGGTTGACACAAAGGTCGCAGTCCTACGAGGGTGAGCTAATCCAAAAGCTCGTCCGTAGGTGATGGTAATAACTTCCAATGTTATAAATATACTCTTGGGCGTTTACTATTTGAATTTCTTTAGTCTAATAAATGACGTACAATTTTTTTCAATTAGGTTGTTCGAGTTTATACTTTGATGAAAATAAATTATATGAGGGCTTTCTTTTATTGTTGAATTTTCATCTCCCATTTTAGTAAGCACTTTTGTTTATTCACAATCGTTACAGGTATCTATAATATATTAAATATTACATTAAGTGAAAATAAATTTTTGATGATTTTAAATCTACTATAATTCAATTATTTCAATGATATCTTATTTTTCATTTTTTAATATATAATAAATACTACAAAATCCTCGTTATGTATGAAGTTCATGTTATTAATTCTTAATTAATTAACATTCACATTAAGGTCTTGTTTAAGCCACATTATTTTCAAAAAAAATAAATTTTTCAATAGTGATTTGATATCATTTCAACTACACGTTTTTCAATAAAATAATATTATACGTAAATCTAAAAATTTTCCTTACTTTTTAAGCACACATTTCCTATTGATTTGACATGAATAATGTATTTTTCCTAGAATGTGGCTCAAATATGGGCTAATATAGATTCAATGAACATTGACTTGGTGAATCTTGATTTATATAAATCTAGAGTTAATATTAATGATTTTATTTCTATTCATGTATCTAAAAATTTAACGAGTGTTTAAATTCATGTATTAATAATTAATTTTTATATTCCAAATGTAGTATAAAAATATTGGTCATTTGTAGTATTTCATCATTATAAAAAAAGTTGAATCATAGAGTTGAGTTTGAGAGTATAATTTTCTTCTCTTAAATTTCTATAATAAATCTTATTTCTTTAGTTCGTTTGAGACTCATTAAATCATCCCAACAAACTAGTGTCAAATATTACTTTGACTATACTTATAAAGTATTTCAGAATAACGTGCAATGCAAGTTTAACTTTGATTAGTTTAAACAAATGAACAAAATAGGACATACACACATCGTTTTCTCGTAATGAATTAGAAAATGAAATATGAATAACCGACAACATTTAATTTTGTACCAGAAATATTAAAGCAACAATTTTTATAATCTTTATTGCGACCGCACGAGATTTATTATTCCCATTTTAGATTAAATATCTTGCTCTTAAATTTTATCAACATTATAAATTAAAAAAAAAAAGACTAGAATTTACAATTTAACTGTTTGTTTCCCATTATTTGATCATTAAAATGAAAAATATGATCGTTATTCATTACATCAAGCCGCCTATTTGAATTTCTATCTCTTATGTGGGGTCAAAAATAGCTATATTTTTCATTCCCATTCTAATATTAATGAGAAACAAAACGGGGCATTATCATCAAATACTAACCAATTCAAAATAAATCGATGTCAAATAAAAATGTAATAAAATCATGTTGGTCCCTTTTTAGACTGTAACACGGGGTTATCTCTTAACTTTTATAATAGCTTTGCTTTTAACATACTTTTTTAAAGCAACTTGATTGATTTGAACACCAGTATGATATTCCGTTTAAGGGCAAAATGAGGGAGACATTATATGGAATCACATGGAATGGTGAACCCCTATAATTTCCATTAATTAATGGCTTCTAATAAAGTGAATACAGTATTGCAGTCAAGCTTTTTAAGATTGAGTGAGTGACAAAATGTATCGTTCAGATTAAATTATTAGTAATTTTTTTGGATGAATAATATTGAATCCTACTAAACTTATAGTGAATAAATTAGTAATAATTGTAAATATGCGATTGAAATCAATGCTCAACTTAAATTGATTTTTTTTTAATTAAATTTTGGTTTACACGAACAAGATGGGAGAAGGAATGGATATATAGGATATACGTTGAAAAAAAAAAAAGAAGAAGAACGACAAGAAGAAGAAGAAGAAAGAAATTATTATTTTTGCACAATTTGAAAAGAGAAAAATGACCCAAATAGAAAGGTCATTTTTCCAAAATAGCATTTGGCTAATTTTGATACCCAAAATACCCACTTTACAATATTACATAAAAAGTTGATGAAAAATAAAAATCTTTCATTTTAGTCCTTAAAAAATTAAATAATGCTTGAATTTTAATAGATTACTAAATTTATTTGATTTATAAGATTTATATGATTTATTTGATTTTCGTTCGCTCTAAGTAGCACCTCCTTTATTGGTATCAGAGCCATAGAGATCATGGAAATTAAAATAAGAAAAATAGATAATTATTGGTATTAAGAAGAAGAAAAAGGTAGTTATATATTTTTAAAATCTATACATAATAGATTAAAAATAATGACTTTAACAATAATTAAAGAACATCCTAAAGAAATAAAGGAACAGATATTAGATAAATTAATAATAGAAAAAATAAAAGATATATATACATATGAAAAAATTATTAATATATATGAAAAAAATAATTTATATTATAAAGAAAAGCATGAGTACAAATAATAATACACATTTAAAATTAAATAAATTACTTATAAAAATGGAAAAAAATACTAGAAGAAATACGAAATATAATGTTAGTACCAGAAAGAATGAGAATATCAAATAATAGACAATTAATAAAATTAAAATGCGAAAGATTAAGACTTGAGAGCAAATATTTTACTATCGTAAAAGAAGAATTAGTATTCAGAAACAGTTGAGAGAAAATTTAGAAAAATAATAGATAAAAATGAAGATAAAAGATGCAAATTAACCTATGAGTTAGAAATAAGAAAAAATTAAGATGTCAATAAGCGAATATATGGAAGAATTCAAGTCATTAATAAAAATGTTAATAAGTGATATACAAGATTTGAGAAATGAAGTAAAAGAAACAAGAAACGATATAAATATATGAAAAATTGAGATTAGAGAATTAAAATAAAATAATAAGAACAAAGACAAGAAAATAGATAAAAAAAACTTATAGAAAAAGAGATGACTCGAATAGGAAAAAAATATAGAAAAATAAAATATAGTATTAGAAACAGGAAGTATGAATGATGAATTTAGAAAGAATATATTACTAAAAATATTAGAAGAAGAAGAAGAAGAAGAATAGAGAAAAATCATTAAGCAAATTGAAAGTATGAGAAAAAGGAAATGAGTGAAAAATTAGATTTGTTAATAGAAAATTTTGGTCAATTAAGCCTAACTGATATAAGTGAATACCAAATTTTAATGAATACTGGAGGAGGACCTAATCCAACAGGAATCTTTAAACAGGAATTACATGATACGGATGAAAGTTATGCACCTAT